TGGGACTTAATGAGTTTTAAGGTCCCTTCAAACCCAAGCCATTCTATGAGTCTGATGATTCTATGACATCAGACCCTGGAGAAGAAGCAGAGTGATGAACCTTCCTCTGTAGCAGGACACAGATCTGCTCCCCCGCGGCGAGAAGCAAACAGACAGAAGGCATCTGGGTGACTTGTAACCGTACATTTATTATTCCACATGGAAAGTCATTAAAATGATTACACGGAGGCCTGATGAGATAATCACGTACATTGGGTAAGAACATCGACACCGAGAAGAGAAAAGCAGAACTGACCACTTCGCTACAGCTTCGTACCAACGCGATTTCCACCCGCTCCCGAAGGAGCCCGGCTCTGTTGTCACTTCCGAGAGCTTCTTCCAATGACTTCAACAGGAGCAGACCCTCCTCTTCCTTTCCCTCCCCTCCCTCCCCACCTCCCCCCCCCCCAGTGACAAGTGCTACAGGTTAAAAAGATGGGCTACATATTAAATATAGGGCGTTACCTTCAAGTAGGGCTGGTATATTACACAAACAACCACATTATTTGGTATCACTAGCATTTTTTTCTTTTTAATGTCCATCGTAAGACACCATTAAAAAAACTCAACAACTTTAGGCTTCTTTCTCTACAAAGATCTTTGTTCTCATCTCCTTAGTTGTCTCTCATTATTTTACCCTGCACATACAAGTAGTAGAAGCATTATTAAGAATCGGATCCTTCAACACATTTAAGAATTATATTATTATAACAAATAAGACCAAAAATTAGATTTTATAGTTAAATATTCTGTGAGCCAGACAAAGGGGTTTTACTGTACAAGCGATTGTGCATTCTTTTTAAAAAAGCAAATTATAGTGCAAAGCAAAAAACGTTGGCCTGTCTTGTGACCATTTGCATACAATAGAGGTGCGTATATTTACACCTTCACATGACAATATGTCATAAAAAAAACCATCATTGCCATTCTATTAATTATTTTATTTTATTTTTTTAATTCAGTACGAACAGTCTTAAATTAACCTAGTTCTACGAATGCCTTGTTTCCTTTGTGCTTTCAATCAGTGGCGCGATCGGATGATAAATGTAAATGCATCAAAACACAGGCTGCCGTGGTCCAGTTTCTACAGTGGGCAAACACCGGAGAGGTGCTCGCTGTCGCTAAGGCAAGTGAAGGTTGCAGTTTTGCTGGGGTAGGGCTTTTTTATTTTTTTAATTATTATTATTATTATTATTATTTCAAAGAGTTGTTCTTCTTGTTGCTTATTGAACTCATGAGTGGTCATCGCAGCTTTCCAACTAAGCCAGGATGTCTTGCTCCAGTCTTGACGTGGTAGTGCAATTACAACGCTCTTGTACCTCAACCGAGGGCTGACAAGATGCCAACTGAGATTTGGTGAGGGGCGACGCGGCTGTCATGGTAGAACTCAGACCGAGGGGCTGGGAGAGCAGCTGGGGTGGTTTCAATTTTCTTATGCTCACGTAAAAAAAAAAAAAATTAAATTAAAAATAAAATGCTTAGTTACTGGTGGCACTGGGATCTGGGAGTGTCCCCATCCCCTTGCTGCAGGGTAGGCTCCAGAGGGCAGTGGGTACCACAGTTACATGCTCACCAGGAACCTGTCCACTCACCCTCAGCCCTGCCGGCATGAGGAATCCTGAATCCAGCCTGAATTCCCACGCCAGCAGAAAGCACAGCTGGCTTGAGGGAGGTGACGTAACCCTGCAGCATGTGTCAGAGCCAGGCCACTAACCCGGCCTTGGCAGAGCCCTCGCTGCCTCTCCAGCTGCCTACGACCTCCCGTTGCGGTCCCATTCAGGTTGCAACCTCTTTGGTATCAGCTACGAGGGTGTGTGGTGCTCAGGGGACCTGGTTCCTCCAAATGCCATGTGATGCAACCAGCTACCGACGTGCCAGCAGTACCTTGAGTGCCCCTTCTTCAGCTTATTCATCTACAGCAAGATACCCACGCTCTGGGTGACTTGGAGGAAAGGAAAGGAGGGTGAGGGGATGGAAAACGCTAGATAACATCGCTTCGCAATATTCCCACCACCAAGGGACTGGGTTGAAATTGCTCCTTTCTCCAAATCTCAGTTGGAGCTTTCAGTATGAACTGAGAAGTTGTTTTGTAATTAAAAAAAGTCATCATGTGTCAATCTGCTCTGGGTGAAAACACAGGAAAGAATCAGAAAAGAAATATGATGCTTTGCCACCAGCTGCATGTGTCGCCACTCAGAGAGGATGAAAGGAAGACCCAGGGACCGGTGGCAGGGTCATGCCAAAGGCTCCCGAGTCCCTTTTGCAGCTAACGCGCTTGGAAGTGCATCTCATACATCTTGGATTGTCCTGAGCGCCGCCTTCGCTTCAGCCACCATCACTGAGATTTGCTAAGAGGAGCAAAGAATGGAACGGTGAGGTCAGGACAAAAGAGCAAACAAAACAAAACAAAACATGTCTCATAAAAAAGTACATCTCATATGTAAACATACAGGAAAGGGGGGTTGTCAGGCACGGGATCAACCACGTTACTGTTTTAAAAATGACGACAACGACAAAAATGAACAATACAACCTCTGTCGTCAGCAACAAATAATAAAAATCACATCACAGCTCTTGTTCACATGGCTGATGCCGGCTGACCCGCAAGGAGCGCGCAGCCCCCGCGCGTGCCCGAGTCCCCGCGGTTGTGCTGTAAACCAGACTCTCACGTGCCGCGTGCAGCTCTGGCATCATCCCCGAGCACTTTGGTGGTCAGGGGCCCTACACTGGTGGGGAGGGAAGGAGAGAAGACAACGGGGGGGGTGGGGTTTCTTTTTTTTTTTTCTTTTTTTCCTTTGTTTTTTGTTTTCAGTTCAGTCTTCCTGCACTGGCAGAGAGATGGTTTGAACAACTCCCTGGTCTTTTCTCTTCTCTGAAACATTTTGCAGAAGAAGGGTGAGCTTTTCGTAACTTTTGAATGCTTTGTGTGGGGAAGAGGGTGTGAGTGAGATGACTGAGAAGTGTTCCACAAGAAACAAACATTTGATTCCACACGTCCTCTTTTTTTCTTTTTTTTTTTCTTTTTTTTCCTTATGTACAATCCACATACTTAAAACATCCAGAAGGAACCACATCAAGCAACAAATTCAAGCCTTGTGGACGTTCATCTTGAAATGTAACGCAGGTCCTGGTTCATCTTTGCTTGATGTTCACCCATGCTTGCAGGGGATCCTGGTTTGCTTTTGGTTTGGGAGACTTTGGTTTACCTTTTCCTTAGGCATCATTTGGCTCTATTCATTACCAAAAGGAGTAAAGTAACGGTGGCTGATTAAGTTAAAGCTATCGGTGCCCAGTTGAGTTCCTCCTAGTAGGGTCTCCAGACTGACTCATCCATCCTCCCAGTAGTCGTCATGGTCGTCGGCGAGTTACTGTGGCTCCCGTCTGCATCCACCCCATCATTCTGATTGCCCAGGTTGGGATTCATTAAGTTGTTCCCTGCTGAGGCACTTGTACAAGAAGAGAGCATCCGGGTCGGGGAGCGCTCGCCGCCCGCCACCATGGAGAACTGGTAGGAGCCCGAAGAAGTGCCATAGTACAAATGATAGGGAGAAGGGTTGGCCTGGAAGGGTCCACTTTGGTTTTGCGTGGAGCCGGGGTAGGGGGGTGGCAGGTAAGTGTGATGGAAACGTGTTGTGGTGGGCATGCTGGTCATGCTGATGCCCCCGATGCCCGTAGCGGAGGGTGTCGCGGTGTAAGGGAAGGCAGCGGACATGGCACCGGGGTAATGCATCCGTGGGTCGGAGAACCTGGTCTCGGTCAGCGCCGGCAGCGTTGGGAAGGAGCGATCAAACTGCCGGGGGTCAGAGAAGGGGCTCAGATCTGATGTGCCTGTTGGGATGGAGAAAGAAAGTAGGTGGTTAGAGCAGGTAACCTTACGGCTTGTAGACTTTGTCCTACAGCCTGGGCCATCCCCTACCCAAGGAATTAAAAGTCAAAGAGAAAAATCATCTCTTGGATCTGCCAGGGAAGAGAGCTAGAGAACTTAAATACAAAAATCTTAAACCCATTTGTTTAAGTTGTTCCCATTTCCTGTCCTAAAATTTGTTGTTTCCTATCCAAGAAGGGACACATCTAAGCTGACTTCTCCAGGGGTCTATTCATCTCTGGCAGATTAAAAAAAAACACACCCCATAAACACAGAAAAAAAAATGTTTAGCCATTACATCAGCTGTGTAGTAAATAAATGGATGCAGGCCCCAGACGGCCGGTCCCTGAGATAGTCGGTGGTGTATATACACACACACGGAGACAGAGAGGAAAAGCTGGAGTCCAGACCAGCCTGCTAAGCCTTCTTGTGGGTGGCCTGTTCGTGCTGATACCATCAGGGGATGGAGCTGATAAACACACAGCTGAAAACTCCCAAGCTAGGAGCCACAATATCCCTCTGCTTCATTTCTCTGGGTATTTTGTTCTTTCCAAGAGGATAAAGAGAGTGAGAAATTCAGGCTTTCTTCTGCTGGGGGAAGGGAGATTTGGGTCAGTGTGGTGGGGTTGTACCCAGCTCCCTCGGGTGCTGGAGACCCCCATGACTTTTCTTGGGGTTCTACACCCAAAGTGGGTCACATCCAGCTTGTAACTGGAACAGGATCTCTGCCCAGTGCTGCCAGGCCCCATTCTGCTGCAGGAAGCCCAGGTTAAAGATGGGAATTCAAACCAGCAGATCCTCGAGACTTTTCTGTGGCTCCCTCAGCTCTCCTGAGACCATTGCCGTTTCCTTACAGAGCCCAGCACACCCCTGAGACAGAGAGACATGAGTTTTGTTCTCCAGAGAGAGATGCAAAACCCCTGTCCTAGAGATCTCAGTGGCCCAGGCCAAGCTTTACACTGGTTATGCAGGAGGACATGGCCAGGAATGCTGTGACTGCACCTTTCTCAGGTTTTTAACACCCTTCATGAGATGACAATCTCTAAAAAGAGCAGTTCTAGCCCAAAACGCTTGGCTGATGCACTGAGCTCAAAGCCTTGGCCAGCTGGAGGTGGCTCTTCATCCTTTCTGTTTACTCCCCAAATCCCTATTTTTCCTCTGTTAAAAGCAGGGGAATCAGGCCTGCTTTGGTAGTGGGATGTCATCTGGCCTCACTGACATTTTTTGGTCACATTGGCTGGATTTTGAATCAATTGAGAGCAAGAAAATGTGTGAGATGTGTACGATAAACACGCTTGGTTTTAGATATGCATATATATACAGACACACGCATGATTGTATATTTGCTGCACACGCATAGGGATGTGTGTTTTATACATATTTATGATGATGAAGCATTTTTAAGTTCTCAGGGCTGGTGTTCCAGGCCCTGCAGCATTTCTCCAGGAAAAAATACTGGAGCTAATCCCTTCCAGCTAACTGGTGTCATGGGCACACTCTGGAGGAGCAGATATGGAGGGGACTTGTGATCTGAACCCTCTTTCTCATCCCAGGTGAGTCCCTCAGCCATCAGCCACTGGAAGGAGAAGGGTAGAGGAGGTTCCTCCCTCCCTTCCAGCTGTTTTGTGGCTGATCAGCAGCGCCTGCCTTCCCACGCAGGCTCCAAGAAGGAGAAAGGCGGGGGAGCACCTGGTTTGTGAACGTGGCTGTGGCTTTGGTGTGCGATAAGAGAGGAGCAGCTCCAAGCTGTCACGAATCACACTGCTTTGCACACACCCGGGGCTGGATGGAGCAGAGTCGAGCGTGGAAGCCGCTGCCTGGCCGGGGGGCCGTTCCTCTTGCATGCTATGTGGAGGGGTAGTGTGCATGGGCTGGCTAGAAAAGCACAACACTGCGAAAAACGCTCACAACTGACCAAAATCAACTTGGTTTCACGTATCAGCCTACCAGCAGGATGCTCTACCCCATCCCAAAGCCGTGCTACTGCAAAAGCAGCACCAAAGCTGCTGTCAGGCACTGTGAGCTGAGGGTTGGAGACCAGCTCTGCAAGAAGCTGCTTGACCAGAGCCTGTAGCTTTAGCACTCCAGCATCATCACAGGATCATGGGACAAAAATCCTGGCTGAACTTGGACTGGAGAGAAAAATGACTATTTTCTGAATACCTCCTTCTTACATGCACGCAGCCTGACACTGTGGTCCAAGTAGCTGGACTGTTCTGCCATGCACTGAGAGAAAGCAATCTTGAAATACCCCCCAGCCCCCTGAAAACCCAGACTGCTGCTGCTCACTAACTTTCCTGAGAGCAGATGACAATCTCCAGCAATCAGACCGCACTCCTTCGTTAGCTTTCACATGCCTATAAATAATATTCCATAAAATGCAAATCAAAATAAAACCTAAGTGCTCAGGGCACATTTCCCTTTTCCTCTATAACACACTCAAAGGGTTTTGTTTTTTGGTTTTTTTTTAAAGGTTACGTTTTATTGGCCTGAACTTGCACCATTTGGCAATGGGTCCTCGCTACTAATTTAAACATAAGCATGTAAGAGTGTTAATTACAGGCTGTGTGTACAAGGAGCAAAGCACAGCGATACTGTCGGGTCTAGAGACACTTCAGCTATTGCCTGCGGAACACCGGCGGGCAGCGGGCGAGCTCTGCAGGTGCCAGGCTTGGAACCCCCTGGTCTCTGACAGACAGCTCAGTGGGGCTGGGCTTCGGTGGGCTGAGAGCATGGGGGTGCAAACCCCTTAGAAAGCAAATCCCTCGACTGTGGGAGGGAAAAGGAAATCCACAGCCCCACAGAGTGAGTGGGGCATCCAAGTGACTATGCCCAACTCACACAGAATCACAGAATTGCCTCGATTGGAAAAGACCTTTAAGATCATGGAGTCCAATCATGAACCCAACACTGACCAGTCCCCGACTAACCCATGTTCCTCAGCACTGTGTCTACACGACTCTTCAATCCCTCCAGGGATGGGGACTCCACCACTGCCCTGGGCAACCCCTTCCAGTGCCTCAGAACCCTTTCAGCAAAGAAATTCTTCCTCACATCCCATCTCAACTGCCCTGGGCACAACTGGAGCCCATTTCCTCTTGTCCTGTCCCTTGGGCCTTGGTTGAACAGACCCACCCCCACCTCTCTCCACCCTCCTCCAAGGGACTTGCACAGAGCCACAAGGTCTCCCCTCAGCCTCCTTTTCTCCAGGCTCAACACCCCCAGTTCCCTCAGCCACAAGGGAACTCAGCACACTTGTGCTCCAGACCCTTCCCCAGCTCCGTTGCCCTTCTCTGGACACGCTCCAGCACCTCCATGTCCTTCTTGGAGTCAGGGGCCCAACACGGAACCCAGCACTCGAGCTGCAGCCTCACCAGTGCCCAGTACAGAGGGACAATCACTTCCTTAACTCACTTTCATCTTTGATGAGCTTAAAGTCTGGCCCAGAGTACAGCTCCAGCTTTCCCTGACCAGTCTGAGGCTAAAAAAGCCCCCCCAAGCCCCCCAAATTGCGTATTTTGTCTCTGTGTTATCTAGGGGGAAAGGTTCAGCCTGCTTGGGCTGTGACAACCAGACCCCAGGCTGCTCTGCCGTATAATGTC